ATGTCCATATAAAATGTATGACATTTTGTTATGCATGAGAGTTTTTGATCTTGCATTTTTCTCTCTTAAAACCACCTACAACAATATGCTCCCTTTTCTTTCTAAGTTCTGAAACCGTGACTAGCATCACGAGAAGGCAAAGGATTTGGATTGTTTGCGTGGATACCGTGGAGGCATCAAGCTTTGTTTGTTGCTGTGATCAGAGTTTTGCTAACTGTGAGGTATAATTTCGAAACACCCGATTTATTCCGGTTCGTATGGGTCCTTGGAGGGTTACGGTTTTATTTTCCGCTGTGCTTGAGATCCCGTAACCCAACATTTCAATGCAACGGACACCATACTAGTTAGTGCAACACCTGTCACCAATTTAGCTGCAACGGATACAACACCAGTTAGTGCAGTAGCCCTTGCTGAAAGAAGGAGAACTTATAATAGAAATTATTATCTACGATGTAAGGAAAAAAAACATAACAGCAACAAGTGGTAACCCACATACAAGCATTGAAACATTGACAACTACCATAGAGAACAATGAAGTTATGGATGTTACAGGTAAAATCCATATCTTTAATATGTATATTCAAACATCAATTTTTATTATCGTTGCTTCATATATGATGCAGTTTATTTTTTTTCCAACAGAACATTTGTAGTTTTGTAAATTATTATTTAATTTATTTTTTACATTTTTGTATCCATAGATATAGTTCTTTAATGATAACTATATTTTTACATAGGTTTAGTTCTTAAATGTTAACCATATTGTTACATTCAAATGTCCTAGATGTAGAAACCTCTACTGAGGTCATTGTCAACTCATCAAACCGAAATGACACCTTTGTGGAAGATCCATAGGATTATATTTACAGGCGTATACCTAAGGAACATCGCCTTTTGAATGAACAACCTGCATGTACTCATTGCGGAGCAAAACGATTCAAGTTTGAATTCCCTTCCTTCTGCTGCATGAGTGAGAAGACAAAATTAGCATACTCTCCCATTCCCAAATAATTATACAATCTCTTCACATCACAATATGAATTGGGCATAATGTTTGGGCACAACATACGTGCATACAACACGAACTTTTCTTTCACATCGATGGGTGTAACTTTGGATGAGACAATGAATAATATGCCATCCGGTGTATATACTTTTCGTCCACATGGAGGAGTATATCATAAAATTGATCAGTTAGTTCCAAGGGATGGACGACCTAGGTATTTACATTTATATTTTTTTGATGCTGAGTCTGAATTTTCACATAGACTCCAATGGCCCAATCTTGATAGAAGTATCATTGAAATTTTGACGCGTGTTCTTGCTACGAATCCATACGTGAGCACATTTTGAAGCCTTGTAGAATTAGGACCACTCGATAATTATAGAGTCAATTTGAATGCATCGGTGGAACTTGACCAGAGGGTATACAACCGACCGATTACATATGAGGTTTGAATAAAAAACCTTTTCTTTTTTTATCTTATAAATACATGTGATACATAGTATAGACTATATTAAATAATCACATTCTTTAGGTTGTTGGTATTTGGGTTGAAGGCAATGACAACATCACTGCATATAAGAGAAATATTGTTGTATACGGGAGGTCTGACTATAGCCAAGAAATTTAATCTCACCTCGGTTGTTACGATCCATTGTCTTATCCTTTGTTCTTTCCAAAAGGTGAGTATGGGTGGCATTCTAAAATTCCAAGACATGGAGTGCCTATCGGTGAAGTTGTTGATGACAACGAAATCATGGAGGAAGATTATGAAGGTACAAATTCTATCGCATATGTTAATATATTATATATGTAACTAATTAGTTTTGAAAGCATACATATCATTAGTTTAAATGTTTCAAAACATTACACAGAGACTTATGCAAGAAGGGGTAGAAATACTGTAGCTATGCGGGAATACTATTGTTACAAGTTCCAGATCCGTTCAAACGATAATGTGATTCTATTGGGAGGAAGATTACTACAACAATTCGTGGTAGATACCTACATCAAGATCGAGACTTCACGTTTGCGTTTCTGTGAACTTAACCAAACCAAGATAAGAGTGGATTTATATCAAAGGCATTATGGATTGCGTTAATGCCGGTGAAGTTCAACCAAGTAGAGTTGGACAATGAGTTGTGTTGCCTGCAAGTTTTATAGGAGGCCCACATGACATGCGGCGATGATTTTTGGATGCTATGGCTTTAGTTCAAGATGACGGGAAACCTGATATATTCCTTACAATGATGTGTAATCCAAAATGGCCAGAAATCCTTAAAGAGCTATTGCTCAGTCAAACTACACAAGATCGACCGGACCTTGTTGCAAGAATTTTTCGTGCCAAATTAAAGGATCTCAAGGACCAACTCTTCCAGAAGAAGATCCTCGGCACTGTCAAGGCATATGTTTATGTCATCGAGTTTCAGAAGCATGGATTGCCGCATGCACATTTCTTCATGATAATGAGACCTGATGACAAAATGACCAATCCAGATCATTACGACAAGATTGTATGTGCTGAAATTCCTGACCTAGCAAAGTATCCCGAAATGCACCAGTTGGTTGTCCAACACATGATGCATGGTCCTTGCGGTCATTTACGACCGTCCAGTCCTTGCATGCAAGGTGAGCCAAAAATCTATCGTTTTAGATATCCTAGACAATTCAACTATAAAACATCACAGGCTGAGAACTCATATCCGTTATACCGGAGAGAAATATTGGAAGAGATGTGAATGTACGAGGCAATACACTGGATAATAGATGGGTTGTCCCGTATAACCCAAAATTGTTAATGATGTTCAACTGTCATATTAATGTTAAGGTTTGCTCAAGTATAACATCTATGAAATATCTCTTCAAATATATTTACAAGGGTCATGATAAACAAGTTATGCATATAGATCCAGACGAAGGATAAAGTGTCATTAATAAGATTAAAAGGTTTCAAGATGAACGTTATGTCTCCCCCCGGAGGCAATGTGGCGGTTTTTTTAGCTTTGCGCTTTCTCAAATTCAACCTTATGTGATGGCTTTGCAAATCCATCTCCCTAATAAGCAGATGGTTAGGTTCAGAGATGATGATGTAATGACAAATATTGTTGCTAGAGAGAGTGGTAAACAAACAATGTTGACTGCATTTTTTGACAGAAATAAAGAAGACGGGAGTGCAAGACAACATTTATATAAAGACTTTCCAAAACATTACACATGGAATGCGAGCGCACGTCGTTGGAATCAAAGAAAACGAGGATTAATGATAGGACAATTGGTTTATGCTAATCCCGCCGAAGGAGTGCGGTACTACCTACGCCTACTTTTATCTCATATTAGTGGGCCTACATCTTTTAAAGATCAATTCACAGTTAATGGCATATTATACCCGACATTCCGGAAAGCAACACTTGAGAGAGGCTTAATAGAGACAGACGATAACTTATCACAATGTCTTGCAGAGGCTTCTTTATTTCAGTTTYCCAAAGCTYTRAGGAGGCTATTTGCGACAATATTAATTTATTGTGAGCCAGGAGATGTTCGCAAGTTGTGGGATCATCATTACGATTCAATTTCAGAAGATTATAGAAGACAATGCGAAAGTGTTGACCGAGTTCGGAATATGGTCCTAACTGACATCACAAGCTTTCTACAATCTATGGGTAAAAATCTTGATGATTTCGATCTTCCAAAGATAAATGTAGATACYAACTTASAWTTTGGAAGTTTTCGTGAGGTACAAGAGGAATACTCCATAGTTGTGGAAGATGAACATTTACGTGCCCGAGAATCCCTTAATTTCGACCAAAAATACGCATACGATGAGATCATGAAGCACGTAGACGATGATTGTTCAGGAGTGTTCTTCATAGATGGTCCAGGGGGGACTGGAAAAACGAATTTGTACAAAGCATTGCTTGCCAACATTCGTTCTTGTGGTCTCATTGCTCTTATGTCACTGCTTCTTCAGGTGTTGCAGCTAATAATATGCCTGGGGGAGAACAGCGCACTCCCAATTTAAAATTCCCCTTAATCTTGATAACAACTCCATGTGCAACATAAAAAAACAAAGTGGGACTGCTCAGTTGCTACGTGATGCAAAAATAATCATTTGGGACGAAGCGTCAATGGCTAAGAGGCAGGCGGTGGAGGCGCTTGATCGAACAACGCAAGACATCACATGGGTGACACTACCATTCGGTGGAAAAATAATGGTTATAGGAGGTGATTTTAGACAGGTCTTACCGGTCGTGAGACTTGGAACCGAGCACAGATTGTAGATTCAAGTCTACGAATGTCACCTCTTTGGTCTTCAATTAAAAAAATACGTTTAACTCTCAACATGAGAGCACGAAGTGATCCATGGTTTTCAGATTTTCTATTACGAGTGGGTGATGGAGATGAAGAAATGATGGAAGAAAGCTTTATATGTATTCCCGATTACATGACCATTGTCTATACTGATAAAGATAAATCAAAGCATGATCTGATTGACACAATATTTCCATCTCTGCAAATCAACGGAGCAGATTCAAACTATATTATTTCGAGGGCGATATTATCAACAAAAAATGAGAATGTCGATGAGATTAATGATCAGTTGATTGATAGATTATGCGGCGATGAAAAAGTTTACTACAGTTTCGATGAAACAGAAGATGACAAAAGTAACTTATATCCAATGGAGTTCTTAAACTCGCTGACTGTCAGTGGTTTGCCCCCGCATTACCTCTGGCTTAAAATTGGATGCCCAATAATACTATTGCGAAATATTGATCCCTCTAATGGCTTATGTAATGGCACCAGATTGATATGTAGAGATTTTCAACAGAACGTAATCGATGCAGAAATAGTTGTTGCTCAACATGCTGGAAAGAGAGTATTTTTGCCGAGAATTTCTTTTTGTCCATCTGAAGATAACATGTTCCCCTTCAAATTGAAGAGAAAACAGTTTCCAGTCCGACTTAGCTTTTCTATGACAATCAATAAAACTCAAGGACAGACCATTCCTAATGTAGGTGTGTATCTACCAGAATCAGTATTCTCTCATGGACAACTTTATGTGGCGTTATCAAAAGAGACATCACGTGAAAATACTAAGGTATTAGTAAAACCTACCAAAAAATTCAATCGTGATGGAATCTACACATCAAACATGGTGTATCAAGAAGTTTTACGCGATTAATAAGGTACAAACGAGTACTTATTATAACACATTTTTTTACAATTACGCTTGGTATGTATCTATTATAATCATAAGACATTTCTTACAGGATATATCTACATATGGATGCTTCAAGTGATATCTTCTCATACTTTGTATGTGTCCATTTATATTATTTTAGATGATTATATCTCCGTTTTGTTTAAACATGAATTTTGTTTTTTTTTTTTGTTCATGAGTTGCATTAAGTGAAAATCATTATTTAACAATCTAAAAATAACAATTGATGTGTGTTTGGAAATCCGTTAATCATGCAATTCTCTTTTCAAATCTTCGGTCAATCAACCGTAATAAAATTTGAAGTTTATAATGATCATAAACGTCATACCTTCGATTTACAAAAAATATTGACATCCCGCCGCATTGCGCGGGTATCCAACTAGTATATATCGCATATGTTAGATGAGGCAGTGGGTTTAAAACTTTTAAACCATATATCATAAACACACCCCTTGATTTTTCACAACATTGGAAAATCCACCCCAAACTTTTCAATCATTTAAAAAAAATACCACTTATAATAATCGTTGTCTCCCTCCTCTGAGTGCTGCAATGATTACTAGCTTCAATATTACTTAGTATTTTAATCATTCCTCATTGACATTGATAAACACTTTCACATATGTGTTTTCATATATTTTCATTTGTTTTCAATGTTAAAACAACATCGACACCAGAAGTCATTCTTGGTACATAAATGACCAACTGCATAAAATTGTTATTGATGAGATGATTGAGATACATAAAGTATTTGAACTACCTGAATTGCCATAAACTTTTGAGTGGTTTTTAACCACTCAATGGAAAAATATTTTTAAAATTATTAAAATATTTCAGAATTATTCAACTTGAGTTTATGAGTACAGTGATTTTTTTCTTTGTTTAGGAAGGAAGCTAAATAAAAATCAGTAAAAATTATATGCTTATTTTTTTTACGAATACCTTTTCCATATATTATAATTTATCATAAATAATTTGAATCATTTTTTCTTTTCTCCAGCCATCCATGGATAAACTTTTTGTGCTGATAATCAATGCTTGCTTCTTCGAGTATGTGGCTTATTTTACTCTTCTTTGTTCTACTTATGGAAACAACTAGGTTGAACAATGGAACTAGATACTATGCGATGGCAACAATTGGTTTTATTCTTTTACTGGTTATATGTCATTGAGCAGTTGATACTTGGTTATCTGATGCTTATGCCTCTTGGTAGTTATGCATTTGTATTAGTGGTTGTTCTCTTTAAACAAACAAATAGTTTGAATAGCGAATTCTGAAATGTTCATGATGAACACAATGACCAAATGGTCTTATATGGACATTGCTATTCGTGAAATGGTGATCTTTTGCAAACATGTTTTTGTTTTCAAATTATAATTTTTGGTAAACATGTTTGATTAATGTACAATGTCTAAATAATAAAAATATTAGAATTAAAAGTACAATGTTGTAATAGGAATTGGTGTAACACCGCGGTTACATTAATGTCCATTTTACCGTTTAACTAAAAAATAATCAAATTTTAAACCAACAAAATATACGGGATATGATTTTTAATAAAATTCCAAAATGTCCGCTTTAAATTGTTACGTTTTATCCTCTCTTTTTTTTTGTTCAAAACATAAACCAACCAAAAAGTTTAATATTTACAATCCAAAAGTTTAACTACTATCAACCGGGGACATATCTATCCGATGAAATACATACATACATACATATATATATATACACATATTTATATATATATATGACACATCAAAAGCAAATACAAATATACCCAAAAGAGCTAAACTGACACTTGAGTCAACACCCGAACTAAGCTCCCTTATCTTTCCCTTTGTCTATAATCCTTTTTCCTGCTTAGTGAGACTATATAAAAGTACATGGTTATACTGTATTATATATATATATATATATATATATATATTGAAAAATGAAACGGAATCTCACAATGAAAGCTATTGTAACATCGAAGACCAACAACTCGGATAATTACATGTATACATTCCAAAAGACCTACCAATCTAATAAACATAACATACCAATATCAAAATCAGTACATCATTAGTTCAATAGCAACATACGTTCTTACCGACAAACTCGACAATGAAATGACATTCGTGCCATACGAATATCTATCACATGGCTCAAGTACCGTAATATGTAAACATATCACAAATCAAATATAGAATATCAAGAATAGTACACCACTCCCACCTTTATCTACTGGGTACATGCAGGATAGTACTCACACTCGTCTCCTAACACTCGAGATACGTGAGTACAACGAATTGGTATGTCACACCCAACCTCCATCTCCCTGGGATACATGGACATACACCGCTTTCCAGTGTACCACACGAGGTAGTACCCGTATTCACAGTTTACCAAGAGACCAACAAAACAGTCGTGGATCCGGACTCGACTGACATTGAGGAACAATCATACGAATACAAACCAGAATCAGATGGACTCACTCATGTTACACCTTACCAAAAACATGAAACACAACTAAT